ATAATTAATAAAAAAAATTTTTTTTAGCATTAGATGGATGGACGAATTCAAATAATTATTCAATTTGAAGTTTTATTATTCATATATTAAAACATTAAGAATATTTATATAAACTTGAAGATTTTTTCAAACAACATTATACTGGTGAAAATATAGCAATAATTATTGATAATATTATTCAAAAAATCAGAATTAAAAAAATTATAGCAATAGTATCAGATAATAAAGCAAATATAACCCTTGCATGAAAAATTACCCAAGAAAAACACCAAACAATTTTTAGTATTTCATGTATGGTATATTGTTTAAATTTTGTGATATAATTTCTTATACTTTTGCAAAATAATTATTGAATTAGATTAATATTTTATATAAATTTTTTACAACTTCTCATATTGATAAATTTTTATTAAGAAAAGCAATAGATTTTAAAAAAGTTGAAGGAAGTAAAATAAAAAAATATGTAGAAAGTTATTGGATTACAATTTATGAATTAGCTCAATCAATAGTAAGGTTAAAAATGGCTTTTGAATATATACCGTATTCTTCCGAAAATAAGCAACACTTTTTTGTTATAGTGTTGCTTATTTTTGGGTAGATCACATGATATTTTTTGTCAGATTTATTCATGAGATGTTCGCGTAATATGCGAAACAGGTTTTAAACCTGTACAAATGGCAAAACAAAGACAAGCCCAAATTGTAAAATGAACATGAAACTCGTACTCAGTTGAATGTAAAAAAGAAATCGTCGACTATGCAAGAAATCACAGAAATAATCAAGCAGCAAAGCACTTTGATATCGATCATGGTATGGTAAGTTGCTGGGTAAGTGCAAGTTCAAAATAGACAAGTGAAATAAAGGAAAAAAGCAAGCGGGTCGGTTCTGGTCGGAAAGCCTTATTTCCAGAAGCAGAGAAAAAACTTTATACTTGGATTATACAACAAAGAAAAGAAGGTCTTGCGGTGACCTACGTAACAATAAGAAATAAAATGCTAGAAATCTTAAAAGAATCTGAAATGGTGGTTCTTTATGGTAATATAGGAGAGGACTTTAAAACATCTCAGCATTGGATATTGGGCTTTATGAAAAGGTTCAATTTGGCATTGCGCAGACAGACCAGAATTTCTCAAAAACTTCCTAATAAAACTCAGGAACAACTAGAAAAATTTCAAAAGTTCGTTAAAAAACTAAGAATCGAAAAGCCATTCGAACTGGGAAACATCTTTAATATGGATGAAACACCAGTCTGGTTTGATATGGCCGGTGTTTATACGATTAATCCAAAGGGAGAAAAGACGGTTCATATTCGAGCCATGGGAAACGAAAAGAATCGATTTACAGTTGTTCTTACATGTGCCACGGGTACTGTACCATTTTTTTTTCTTTTTTTCCACTTTTTTTTTCCTGCTTTTCTCTTCTTTCCGCATCCTTCTAATTTCCGTTTTTAAGTCTTACAATAGATGGATCTAAATTCCTCCCATCTGCATCTTCAAAGGAAAACGAATGCCGCGAGGTGAAAAAACGCCTTCGGGGTCATTGTTTGGTTTCAAAGCAACAGCTGGATGGACACTAGTTTGATGCAGAAGTATGTGGATTATTTTAACGATATATGGGTGAAAAGCGGGTTGCGAGAAAATTCGGCAATGCTTGTGTACGATTCTTTTAGAGGCCACCTAGAAGATTCGATTAAAGAAAGATTTCATGAAAGTGACGTCCATCTTGCGGTAATTCCGGGCGGATTGACAAGTAAATGTCAACCACTTGATATCTCTATAAATAAACCGTTTAAAGACAACCTCCGAAAGGAGTGGCATTCTTGGATGGCGAGTGGTGATGCAGGAGAAACTGCCGCAGAAAATCTTCGCCGCGCAAGTCTTAGTGATGTGTGTTTATGGGTGAAACGCTCATGGGAGGGTATTTCTATTGATATAATCATAGATTCCTTTAAAACATGTAATATTTCAAATAACTTAGACTCTGATGTTAGTGATGATGATAATGATTACAATGATGATGATATTTGTTGATTTCATAATATTTTTTTATTATAATAATAAAATAAATAATTGAATACATTTATAAAATTAAATTATTTAAAAAAAATTGAGTTTTTCAAAGTGTTGC